GTATAAGCAAGTTTTTTTAATAAATATAACTTTTTATGCAGTAAAAAGTAGGCTTACTTTATAAATCAGTAGACTATTATAAAAATACTATTGTATTATATGCCTGTAAATGGTTCTTTTAATAAAGGTAGATTAATAATATAATTAAAGGTAATTAATTCCCAGGGTCGTTCTACAATAGGTAGCAGTTGTAGTTTTCTATAAGGTTTATATCTTCTGTCTTTTATTTATTAGTATATATTATAATATAATATAATATACTTTATATATTCTTTAAGTTTTTTAATATTATAGTATATTAAAACTTAGTTATATATTTTTATTATACTTTTATATTTATATAGTAGATATTTATAAATATATTTAACTACTTTTCTTTATAGTTCTTTAGGTACTTAAATTTTTCTATATTATTTAAGGTATCTTAAGTCTATAATAACATTTTTTAAGTATTGTTTATTTTTTTAGTTTTTAATAAATTCTTTAATCTCTTTAAGCATAGGGTTGCTTTTTAAAACTTTAAATATTATATAAATTTATACTTATTTAATATTACTATTATTATTAAATTACAGTGCTTATACTATATACTTAAATACTTCTTGCTTATAATTAACTCTTCTGCTTAATATATTAACTTATTTATTTTCTAATCTTTTATAATAAATAAGTTTAAAGTTAAATTATAAAAGGAATTTAAAGTATTTAATTTATTAGCTTAATAGTTTTTATATAGTAGTAAAGTAAGTAAGGTTTTTATAGTCTATAAGAATTATAACTTTATGCTTGCTTTTATAGCAGTAATATCTTTATTCTTTAAGTGCTTTAATAATAGCTAATATTTCTTTATTATATGTAGTATATTATATTGCTGGTCTATAGAGTTTATATAAGAAAAATATAATAAATTACAGCTTACTGTCTTCTCTAGGTTAACTTAATACTCCTTCTATTATAAACATTAATATATTTATTTTAATTATAATGGGTTTTTTTAGGTTAAATATAATAAGAATAGGTTTTAATATTATTGCTGTTTTAAATTCCTTAAGGGCTTTCTGCTGTTTTTCCCTTTATTTAAAAAAAATACCTTTTTTTATTATATTTATTAGTAGAGTAGCTTTTTGCATAAAGTCTTTAATAAATTTTTAATAATAGTTAATAAGTTTAAGAAATACTTATACTTCTTTAAGCATTATAGGCATTGGCCATTCTTTAATTATAGTAACTTTCTTAAGGTCTATATAAATTTCTTCTGGGGTAATAATATATTTAAGAAATTCTATTTATTAAAAATAAAAAATATATTTTTTAGAATTAATAAAGAGTTTTGCTTTTTTAAATTTTTATAATATAAAATAAATATATTTTTTATATTTTTTAAAGGTCTTTAAGAAGATAAAGATATTATTAATATAAGCTATTATAAAGTTATTTAAGTATAGTCCTAGTATATAGTTTATTCTCTTTTAAAAGGATGCAGGTGTATTAATAAGCCCTTATAGTATAACTATATATTTATATAACCTATATTTTATAGCAAATACTATCTTTTATTTATCTTTTTTTTTTATTTATATAAGCTTATAAGCTTTAGTGAAGTTAAAGGTTATAAACTATTTCTTTTTATATAATTTATTTTTAATTTATAAAATTAATGGCAAGGGGGTTTTGTCTTTAATAGTAATTTAATTTAATTTATAATAGTTAATAACTAATTAAAGTTTACTGTTTTTTTTTAAAATAAAAATAATAGAATATTTAATAAATAATTTTAATATATAAATATATTTTTTTTATAGTTATATTTTAATTTATTCTTTAAATGTTTTTAGTTTTCCTTTGCTTAAGTTATATATTTTATAAAACTTTAATAACTCTCCTTCTTTTAATACTATCTTATAGTTCTATTTTAAGTGCAGTAGTAACCCTTTTTTTAACTAGTTATTAAAGAGTTTTTAATATTTTTAATATTATTTTAAAATTAATATTAATTATTCTTTAAGAGTAAGTTTCTTTATTTTTAACTTATATAATTCTTTATTAAGTTTTATTAGTTCTTAGTGTAAGATAGCAATATGCCTTTATATATAAATTTATTTTATTTTCTCCTTTTTTTAATAATATTAAAGAAGGATATTTAAAAGGCTAAGGAAAACCTTAGGCTTTTAGTAACCTAGTTCCTCTTTTAATATTTCTACATTAGTTCTATTTAAAGTACTTTTATTATTACACTAATAAATTTAGCCTGTTCTTCATTTTATATTAAATTTATATTTATATAACCAGGGTATTCCTAAAATAAAGTTATATTTTAAAATATTAGCTATATTATATACTACATTTATAGTATAGTTATTAATTTATAGCAGCAGGGGATTAATCTATTACTTTATCTATCCTTTATTATACTTAAAGGTTTATTCTTTAGCATAGAAAAGTTAATATAGTTTTTTCTTCTTATATACTAGTAACTGCAGGTATATTGCAGTTATAGCAGATATATAGTTACTTCTTAACCTACTGTTTATTAAAACACTAAGTAGATTTTTATTTAATAATACTATTAAAATAATTCTTTTATTAAAGTGCTTTTTTTCTTCTTTATTATTATATTTTAAGTTAATAATATTTAAGTATTATAAGTCCTTTTGCTGCTTTTTTATAAAGGACTTTAGTAGTTTTTTAAATAGTGCTAATTTTTAATTTTTTTATTTATATATTATAAATATTTTATTTTATTGCAGTCTTTAAATTTTTTTTATTAGTAATCTAGCTTTACTCTTTTAATTTTTTCTTACTTATGCTAATCCTATAGTTTTTTTAATTTATATACTTTATAGGATTAATTAGTGTATTTAAAAAGGCTTGTTTTATCTAGATATTTAAGGGGTTTTAAAATAACTATTTTAAGGGATTAGTATTATTAAATAGCTTTCTATATAAGGCAGTATAAATTATTATAAGGCTTTAATATTGTATACTAAGGGATATATATTAAAAAAATGTTTTTTTTAGTCTTTTATTTAAAATACTTTATGCATTTATAAATAATGCAATTAGTTTAATTAATCTAGTAATATAGCAGATGTACTAGGTTAATATAGTTATACTCTTTAACTATTTTTTTATAATTAAGGCCTTAAATAAATGCTTAATTAATAGTAATAGCCTTAATAATATATTATATTTTTAAAGTTTACTTCTATAGATTATTTAAGTAAGCATATAATACTATTAAAGTATTTTCTACATCTGCGCTTGCTTTTTTTATAATATTATATTAAAATAAGTTAAGTATTATAATTTTAGAGGTAAAATTTTTATAATATTATATAATATCTTTAGTTTCTTTAAAGTAATGTCTATAATTATATTATTTATTATCTTTATCTATTTCTAGGGTAATGTCTTTAATTAAGTTTATTAAGTTTATAAAATTAACTTAAGGGATAGGTTATTAATTAAGGATTTTATTATTTACTTCTATATTTATTGTCTAGGAGTAATCTAAGAGTTTAAATGCAGATTTATAGAAGTTATAGTTATTATTGTTTTTAAAAGATTTTAATTATTTTAATAAATGAATAGTCTTATTGCCTTTATTTATAATATATATTGCTTTTAGCTTAGGAATAGTAGATTATTTCTTTTTTAGGGATTTACAGTTTTTAGCTATATAGTTTAACTTCTTATAATTATAATATTTAAATTTTTTTTTCTTCTTTTATATTATATTAAAGTCTATAAGTCTAGTTATACTATTATTATCTTTAGCAATTAATTCTTATTATTTCTTACCTTAATTTACTTAAAGTCTTAAATAATATTTTCCTTTTTATTTAAAAAAATCTATTTTTAATTCTTATAGTAAATTATCTGCTTTTATGCATTTTTTTATAAAGGACAAGAGATTATATTATTCTTAATTAATCTAATAGACTTCTTTTTTAATTTTAGGTTTAAGTCTATTATAAAATTATTTAATAAATGCTAATTCTTTTTAATTAATGTATATTACTAGATTTTAAAATATTATAGTATAGTTTAAATACTTTTTTTTTTAATAAATAGTAGTAAGTTTATTTTCAGCTATTTTAATTTCTTTAATATCCTTAAAGGCTTTTTTAAGTTCTTCTTTAAATTTATTAAAACTTCTAAAAATAACTTTAATAATATCTTTAGCAGTAAAATTATATTCTATATAATTATTTTAAATTAATTTAAACTATTTAAAAATAAATCTAGAAAGATAAAATGCTGCAAAGAATACTTTATTTTCTTCCTTTTTAAAGATAGTAAAGAAGTTCTAAAAATAAGCCTTAAGTTATATAATAAATAATTAAAGTTTAATAAGCTTGCTATTATATACTAATAGAGGTTAAAGCTTAAGGGTAACTTTAATATCCTTTTCTAAGGTTAATGCTTTTTATTTTTTATATAGTTTTTTAATAAGTTTTTTAAGCTGCTTAATAATAAGCTTATTTTAATTAGGTTTGCCAGTAAGGTTAATGTCTCTATCTATATCCTTAATAAAATTAAAGGTAGGGGTGTTAAAGTTGCCTAAGGTTGCTATAGTGGTTTAAATTACTTAAAAGATCTAAAGTATTTTTTTAAACAAGAGTTATTAATATATAACATTCTAATCCTATACCTAGTATAAGGTAACTAATTCCTAAAGGATAAACCTTTAACATTAGGTTTATATTAGCAGAGAAATATAAAGGATTTTATAAGCAGTTTTAGTTATATAGCTAATAACTTTAAATAAAGGTTTAATCTAGTTATTATATAAATGCTATATTAATAACTAATTATTTAAGCTATATTTAATAAGCGTATTAAATAATCTTATATAATAAGTCATTCTATAGTTATTATTTATATAAGTTGCATTATACTTAATAAAAATGCTTCTTTAGAGTTGCAGTTTTATCTTATAAGTAGGTATGTATTTTACTAAGAATACATTTCCTTTATTATAATTAGTTGTCTTGTCTGTGGTTCACCCGGAGGTATATACCAGAGGGATCTCATGTGGTTGGTTTGTGATAAATTGCCTGAGGAAAAACAAAGGTAAAAGTGTAAATATTACATCTGAGGAGCATTCCTAACAGGCAGCTGCAGGTTCACAGGATATTCCAGAGCTGGTCTGCCACTAACAGGCAGAGGATCAATAGCCCTGAGAGCATTCCATGTCTTCATAATCATCTCTAAGTATTGCGCAAATCCAGACCCCGGCCCAACGTCGCCGTCGCCAGCGAATTCTGAAGCAAGGTAGATGAGCTCATCGAGGGTTACATCTCTATGGTCGACAACAGAGATGCATAGAATATAGGCCAAGATGTTCTTGTGCACGTCGACTACTCCCTTGCTTCCAAAGGTATACTTATATGTATACATATCGACACGAATAATAGCATTGCTGGGTAAATATTTTTTAACATTTCTGTAGCTTGCAACTAAATCGAAGAGGGTTAAACATACTGCTTCATGCAAACGAAGAACTTTTTATCGTAGCTTTCACCGGCGGATGCATCGCCGAGAATTGCAGAAAGGCCTGTCTTGACCACAGACTTGAAACCATCGAGGACACCCTTGGTTCCGGTCTCGGAAGCACCAAAGAAGGCGTCGACGGCATCCTCAACGCCTTTCCCGGGCTAGGATAGATTGCAAGATTAGCTAACGAATACATATAGAGAAACTCGAAAACGGTAGGGGAAAGTATGTACAGTGCTTTCAGCGTCAACAGCGACGTGACGCTCGAATCTCAATGCTCTCTTTCCCGGGACACCTGTCTTCATCGCCGACTCACGGTCCAAGAACATCTTCTCCAATTCTCCTTGGAATGTATCGAGACGTGCGTCTGCGAGCTTCATCATCAGCTCCAGCTGCTCCTTCTTCTTCCTCTCATTCTCATCGGCTGCTTCATTAGGGGCGATTAAGGCGCTGATAGCATTCCCCATGTTTGCAAAGATTGATATAGCTGGATTAAAGATTTTTTTGTTGATTAGAAAAGAAGTTTCTTGAAGATTCCGTCTCTCGTTGAGCAAGGACAATCGCCGCTATTTATCTTAGTCCTTCCCTCTAGATATGGTAGTCATTGTGGGTTGATGGTTCTGGACCTCATGAAACGCCGGGATGATCACCATTGTTGCATGGATTTGACCTGGAACGTGATAGTATACAGCCATGCATTGCCACTAACTGCCCAAAATCACCCGTTCTCCGGGACCTCAAGTACAGCTTCCCAATAACAGTCAACCTCGGCCTCCAGATATTACATTTACCTTCAAATTCCGCTCAGTCAGTTCATATCCGGCGTCACATTGCCTTTTTGGAAGAGAGTTACCCAATGCGCGCAGAGTATCAGCCAGCCACGGATGTAATCGGCAAGCCACTATACTAACTACAGCCTAGCAGTTAGTAGACTTCTGCAGATGTACTAGCCTACAGAATTGGGTAACAGATCAGCCTGGCGCAAGTGGCTGACAGTACTCCGTATAAGCGCTCGGAATGCCGTCCTCTTCTGATCGTCTGACCAATCAACGAGCGAGAGGGAATAGGATTGGTGAGAGAAGTGCACATTGAAACTATTGCATGAACTATCGCTGAAGTCTGAAAGAGGGTGTGATTTGCGCAAGATGCATCTCAAAGGAGTTCGCCGGGCCGTGCGGCGCCACCCGATTAGATTTACCCCAGTCAAGAGCGTATTGTGGCCAGCTGAAATTTTCGCCCCATGTAGACTTTAGTTATGTTCTAGCCCTCTGCCTTATATAACGCAGATTCTATATTACATTAGCATGCTATTACACCCGACGCAGAACGTCTCACTAGGTAATATGCGGTCTAGTTGCACTCTAGTTTTCAATAGCGCTGAGGACGGTTATTACTTTACATTATACAGTAGGATATATATAATTCAGCTCTGTGAGAATGTAGAAACAGAATTTGCCGTACAAGTGGAACAAAGTTCAAACCTCGTAGGTCAAGGGTTACGCCTCCGACTAACAGCCTCTTCAGCTTCGTACTTAACGTTTTAAAGTATTGTACCTTGGTACTCCAGTATCATGCTTGATAGTTCGAGGATTACATGTTAAACTAAAGCATTAATAGTGGCAAGCCGACAGGTAGATTGCCTTAACCCTAAGAAATTAAAGTACACTAATATTAATTAAAGTCTACTTATAATACTTATCTTTAGTACAAAAAGTCTTAAAGCTATCAATAATAGCACTAGTTTAAGCAATAATACTTGCTAACATATTAATATTAATTTTAATACTATTAATAATATTATTATCTAAAATAAATTTAATAAACCAGGTTTAAACCTATTAAGTAAATTAAATTAAAAATAATTATATTTTATTATTATAAATATATATTTTTTTTATAATACTAGCATTAGGCAAGCTATTATATTTACAATTACTATTACTTTTTTTAATAAACTTATTAATATATATACCTTTTATACTATTAAACTAAAGTAATTTATTTTATATTATAGTAAATAAAATAATATTTTAGGTTTTATTAGTTTATTTTCCTTAAGCTTTTATACTCCCGGCAATTATAATTTTAAGCTAGTTATTTATTTCCTAAAGTAACTCTTTATTTAATTTTTTAAAAAATAAAGCAAAAGTAATATAAAAGAATTTGTTAAACTTTAATTCTAAAAGTTTAATTTAAATAATTATATAAGTAAAAGGTATTTAATATAATAGTTTATTTAGTATTAATATACTTTACTAAAATTAAAGTTTTAAATAAAGTTATTAACTTTATTTATTTTTTTTAAAAATATTAATAAAAAATTAAGTAGCAGTAACTAAAGCTATAGTAAGTAATTCTAGAGAGGTTAAAGTAAAAAAGGTTAAAAAGTCTAGTAATATTAAATTTATAAATACTTTTAGGTAAACTAGTTAAATAATTATAAAGTAAAAATAAATAAATAAATCTGCAATTTATATATATAAACTTTTAGTAAATATATTTAATATTAATAATAATATTTATAATTTTAAAGTTTTATTATAGCTTTAATATATTATTAATATAATATTAATATTAACTATTATTATTAAACTAAGTTTTGGTAGCAAGCTAAGTGGTTGTTTAACTAACCTATAGTAAACAAGAATAAAGTAAATCCGGGAGTTTTAAAAATAAATATAATTACTTTTTTAGGCCTAAAATATACTCTCAGGCAGCTATATTTAATATACTAGTCTACAATAAATACTTTTATATTATTATATTATATTCTAAACCAATAGAATTATATGTTATAGTATATATACTTTATTAATAAATATAATATTTAAATATAATATTTTTGTTTCCAAGTATAAGCTTTACTATACTTTACAGTACAATATAAGCTAAGATTGAATAGTACCTATAAGTAAATAGAATAGTATTGTAGTTAATAAAACAGCCTTGCAGGTTCGCTTGGGCTATTCTTTGTTAATAGCCTGCTTATTGGCAGGATAAGCCACGGGCCAAGCCAATAGCTTGCCCTATTACGGCCCGCTGGAACAACCTCGAAGCCGGCGGAAAGGGCAACTGTGGGGTATCTCAGCGTATTACAAGCCTGTTGAAACTAGTTCTAAAATAGACCTAGAGTGGAAGAGAGTGGCTGGCTAAAAACCAATAAATATATTGTAATACAATACCTCTGTTTATCACGCGCTATTAACATCCTATATGCAGCGCTTTACACCTGTTTATGGCTGGCTGAGTATTGTATATTTAAATTAAAACACTGCTTGCTAAGGCCGCTTAGAAAGTCAAAAAACTTTCAGTCAATAATTATAATATAAGTTTAGCATAAATATTAAAAAGCACGGCATACTTAACTTATAAAATCTTCCTTATATCTTTATATACATTAAACCATTTTAATAGTAAATAATAATATACTTCAAGCCGTCTAAAACTGGGTTTACGATTATGCAAGAGGCAATTTCCGGGGCTATAAGGCATTGATTGCCTACCTTATCAAGAAGAAGTTTCCGGATCTTCGAAGCAACAGCTATATGGTCGATAACATACATGGCGCCTTCGGGTTAATGGAAAACGTCCCAGTGCCTTATTCAACAAACCAAAATGCAATAGGTCTTGCTGCTGCTGAAGATATTATAACATTCTAATCCTATACCTGGTATAGGGTAGTTAGTTCCTAAGGGATAAACCTCTAACGTTGGATTTATATTGGCAGAGAGATATAAGGGATTTTATAAGCAGTTTTAGTTATATAGCTAATAACTTTAAATAAAAGTCTAATTTTAGTTATTATATAAATACTATATTAATAACTAACTATTTAAACTATATTTAATAAGCATAATAAATAGTTTTATATAGTAAGTTATTTTATAATTATTACTTATATAAGTTATATTATATTTAATAAAAATACTTCTTTAAAGTTATAGTTTTATTTTATAAATAAGTATATATTTTACTAAAAATATATTTCTTTTATTTTAATTAATTATTTTATTTATAGTTTACCTAAAGGTATATATTAAAGGGATTTTATATAATTAATTTATAATATAATACTCTTTTTTTATTAATTTTATCTTTAAGGCCTAAGACTGCATAAGGTTTTATTTTTCCTTCTTTAGGTAATAAGTAACTATATTTTTTTATAATACCTTATAGTATTTTTAAATAATATTCTTTAATTCTTAAAAGCTTAATTAATTATTATAAAGCAATAATAATAGTTATTAAAATTATTAAAGTTTTTATTATGCTTTATTCTTTTTATAATTTCTATAGCTTGCTTTATAAAATAGCAATAAAGTATAATAAGTATTTAAAATATACCTATAGAGGTTAAATATATAATAAAAATAGTATTTCTTTAGCTATAGGTAAGTGTTTTTTTTTATTTTTTAATAAATATATATTTTATAAAATTATTTCTTAATATAATATTTAATAGCTAAAAAAAAGTATTTAAATATTATTAAGTATTAAGCTAAATATAAACTTTTTAAGCAGTAATAAAAATTAATAAAATATTAATAATAATTAATATTATTATTTTAGTAAATAAATAAAAGTTTTATATAATTATTATATTTTTAAAAGCAGTATTAATAAATTAATATATAAAGTAAATAAATACTTTATTATAAGGCTTAGTTTTTTAATAAATTAAATAACTTAAAGTATATTAAATTAAAGGCAATAATAGATATATAGCTTAATAGTAGTATTAATATAATTAATTAAAATATAGTATTTGCTAATTTAAGCCTAGTGTTTAAAAAAATTTCTTTATTAGCGCCTAAGAATTAAAATATTTAATAAATTTTTATAAATTTTTAAGTTTTAAATATTTTTTTTATTTAATAAAGTATTTAATATTTTAGGTTTTAGGGTTTTAATATATAATAATAATATTTTTAATTTTATATTTTTTTTTTAATTTTTTATAATAATTTTATTTAAAATAAGTTTTTTAGTTTTTTTATTAATTTATACTTTTTTAAGTTATAATATATAAAAAACTAGATTTTAAATTTTTATTATATTTAATAAAGCTAGCTTATAATTAACTTTTTTAATTTATTTTAAAATTTTATAAGGTTTTATTTTTTTAATATTAAGTTTATTATTTAGCTTATTTATTTTAATATTTAATAATTTATAGCCTTATAAGTATTATAGCAGGTAAATTATATTTTCTTTTTAAAAAATTAATTTTATAATTTTATTTTTATTTATATATTT